CACCAACAATAAATCAGAATTATTGTTCTATAGCCTTATCACATTTGGCGTTGTCAGTGTTTGGATTTTGGCCACTCTAATAGTTGTGCAGTGTTGTTTTTTTTTTTAAATAATTGTTGTTTTAAATTGCATTTCCCTGATGACATATGAGATGAAGCATCTTTTCATGTCTTTACTAGCTATCTGTATATCTTCTTTGGTGAGGTATCTGTTCAGATCTTTTGTCCATTTTTTAATCAGGTTGTCTGTTTTCTTATTGTTGAATTTTAATTTTGTATATATTGGGTATATTATTGTATATATTAACTTTGTATATATTGGGTAACAGCATTTTGTTTTTTATATTTCATCAGATATGTCTTTTGCAAATATTTTCTTTCAGTCTGTGGCTTATCTTCTCATTCTGTTGACATTACCTTTCAGAAAGCAGTTTTTCATTTTAATGAATTCCAGCTTATAATCATGTCTTCCAAGGATTGTGCCTTTGGTGTTGTATCTTAAGCACTGCTGTATCCAGGGTCATCTAGGTGTTCTGTTAACAGCCTCTTAGAAGTAAGAGGCTGTGTTTTTTTTTTTTTTTTTGCCACTCCATCCAGCATGCAGGATCTTAGTTCCTCGACCAGGGACTGAAACTTAACGTGGAAGTGAGAAGTTATAATCATTGGACCGCCAAAGAGGTCCCTTCTAGGAGTTTCTAAGTTTGATGCAGATTTAAGTTTTAAAATTTCTATCATAATTTCTTCTTTAACACATGAGTTATTAAGAAGTGTTCTTTTTAATACACAAATGAGTGGAATTTTTATATAACTTTTCACTATTGCTTTCTAATTTAATTAATGATCAGAGAATGATGTCTACGTGATAACAACCCTCCAAAATTTATTGAGATTTATGCCCTAGTCAATGCACATGGTCAATATTTGGAGAATATTTTGTATATTCTTCAGAAGACTATATATTCTTTCATTGGCATAGATCTTTATATATTTTCAAAACAAATGTTGTGTATTAAACTACTGAAATCTTGCAAATCTTTACTATCTTTTAAAGTCTGTTTTACCAACTGCTAATCAAAGAGATGCTTTGAGATCTTCCACTGCAAAAATAGATTGGCAAATTTCTCTCTGTAACAGTATCAATTTGTACTTCATATATATATATATATATTTTTTTTTTTTTTTTTTTTTTGTTGTTGTTGTTTTGGCCAGCAGCATGTGGGATCTAGTTCCCTTACCAGGGATCAAACCCAGGGCCCCCTGCATTGGAAGAACAGAGTCTTAACCACTGGACCTCCAGGGAAGTCTTTTATTTCACATGGTTTGAAATTAATTAATTAGATGCACATAATTCAATTTTAGTGTTTGTTTTTGGTGAAAACAAGTCTTGTGATATTATGTAGCTACAGACACTATTGAGGCTTCACTTGCAATTCCCCAGAATTTCCCTCTACACTGAAAACTATTTTGTGTGCATACCTGCAACTCTGTTTGGGGAATATATTGGGATACATGAAAGTCAGGCTGGGAGTACCAGGAATTAAGGTCATAGAAGAAGCCCTAAACTAATGATGGATGGAGATTCGCTGGATCGACACCCCAGTTTCCTTGCCTCTCAGTGGGTATTATCCTCAAATCTGTTTAACGCCATCTCCCAGGGCTCCCAGCAGCATTGAGCTCCATAGTATTAACTGGTTTGATAACATATCACTTATTGGTTTTGATCTCTTTGCCGATCCATTTCTTTACTCCTCTACTGATGTCTCCTAAAGCAAACTATTTGCACTCAAATTCAAAGTACCCCATTTATTCCTAGTAACAAAGGAGACATCTGTTTAACAGGAGTAAACCAGGACTGTCTCAGCAAACATGATGTGGGGACATCCTACTATAATGAGGCTTTTGGTCCTAAAGTCCATTTATCTTATATTACTAGCCACCCCTGCTTCCTTTGGCTTACTATCTGCCTGGCACATCTTTTTGCAGCACTGCACTTTCAACTTTTCCAAGTCTTTCTTTGGGATGTGTATCATTTAATTAAACAACATTATAGCTGGATTAAAAAATGCTGTCCATCAGGTTGCATTTTAACTACTTCAGGCCATTTATAATTTATGTATAATCTGTAATTTAGCTGTGTTTCTATCGTCTTTTTTTTTCACTTTCTATTCTCCCATTTTTCTATGCTTCTTTTTTTTTTTTTCTTCTCGTGGCTTTAAAAGAAATTGAGTTTGTGTTTGTTTCCTTAAGCTATCAGTTTGGAACTTATACCAGTTCTCTTATTTTCTTCTTTTTGTAGTTACCCTGATAATGTTCCCTTGAATACTTTATAAAATCTGAATATTGATATCTTAACCACCTTCTCCCAAAAGAAATTAAAGATTTTGGAATAATTTAATTCTGATAACTCTCCTCCTGATTTACATCCTATTATTTTCCTGTATGTTATTTATAAGGTTTTGAAAGCCACAAATAGATATTATTTTCATTTTATAAGGTACTCTTTAATTTGTCAACATTTTTACTAATTTCTTTTGTCACTATTCTTTCATCTCAGACCTGTCTTTTGGAATAATTTTCCTTCTTCTCAAAATGTGTCTTTAGGAGTTCTTTTAGTGTTGATGGTAAACTGTAGTTTTTGTCCATCTGATAATATATTTTACCCTCATATTTGGAAGACTTTGCTGCTAGGTACAATATTCTGGGCTAATAATTATTTTTGCCCATCATTTTGAAGCTACTGTTCACTTTCTAATGAGTTCCTTTATTATTGTCTAAATGTGTAAGACCTTTTTCCTTCTGACAGCCTTTAAGATTGCCAACCATAAACTGGCACTTGCCATCTACCTCTCCAGGGGTTCAGTCATGAGTCACTGCCCCTGCTAAACCAACATTCCTCTGAGAGGAGTTCAGGGTGCAGATCAGGAATGAAGCACTCTATGTTCTGGGAAAAACTGGCAGAACAGGTCTTCCAATAGATATTTTCAGGAGGAGATTTTATGAGCCTATTTCTTTATCTTAAAAAAAATTATTTATTTATTTGGCTGCGTCAGATCTTAGTTGCAGGGGTCTTTGCAGCTCATGGACTCTCTGTGGCATGTGGGCTCTAGCGTGCGCAGAATTTGGTAGTTGTGGCTCTAGTTGCTCCACTGCATGTGGGATCTTAGATCCCAAACCAGAGATTGAACCTGCGTCCCCTGTTTTGCAACGTGGATTTTTAACCACTGGACTACTAGGGAAGTCCCCATGAGCCCAATTCTTGCATCTCCTCATATCTTTTAGAAAAATCATTAAAATCATTAACAGGGACATCTGTTCATGACTAGCAGCAAGCCTCTGCCAAAATGTATGTCTGACTGCAGGTATCCCCTCCTCCCTAAAATCATATTGCACTCACCTTCCCCATTGCCTCTGCAGCTGTTTCTCAGGGCAGAAATGCTATTTCCTAGGCTACAGTCCTCATTTTGCCCCAAGTAAAACTTAACTCACAACACTCACGCTGTGCATTTTTTTCAGTCAACAAGATTGTTTCCTTTTCTTTGGTATACTCTAGTTTTACTACCTTTCAGGTAGGTGTGGAAACCTTTAAAAGTATCTCGTGTGTTAACCTTGAATGTGTATGTTTGTCATGAGTTCTACAAAAATTTCAGTCATTACTCTCAAAATACTGCCTCTCTTCCATCTCTCTTTTCTCCCCTTTGAGCTCTTGATGAAATGTTAGACCTTTTCATTCTACACGACCTGAGCCTTAATCTCTTTTTCTCACGTATTTCATTTCCTTGTCTGTCTGTGTCTTATTCTGTAAAATTTTTTCAGATCAACTAACTCTCTTCAGCTGTATTTAATGTATTTAACCTCTTTATTTACATTTTTATTTCAATAAGTCATATTTTTATTTACAAAAGTTCGATTTGTTCCTTTTCAAACTTGATCACTTTTGATAGTGTCTTGTTGCTTGTTCATTTTTATAACAGTGTCTTTTATTTCTTCAAACATTTCATAAGTATTTTATGTTTTATGTATGATAATTCCAATATTTGAAGACCTTGGTGGCCTTAGATATATTACTTCTTACAGTTGCTGACTTTCATTCTTGGTGGTTTGTTTCCTTCTGTGTTTGATGTCCTTTCCTTGTCAACTCATCTTTGACTGGTCTTAGTCTCTGAAACTTTAAGGAGATGGTTTTCTTCACAGAGGATTTAAATTTTTATTTTGGAAGCCTGGGATGCTATAAACTGGGGGCCAATACCAACATAGTCCAGGAGTCTCGGGTTCAAACTTCTGCATTTTGCCACTGGCACAAGTCTGGCCTTTGTCAGTGCTAACATAAACATCTGTACTGGACTTAGTTGCTCAGTTGTGTCTGACTCTTTGTGACCACATGGACTGTAGCCCGCCAGGCTCCTCTGTCCATGGGATTCTCCAGGCAAGAACACTGGAGTGGGCTGCCATGCCCTCCTCCAGGGGATCTTCCCGACCCAGGGATCGAACCCAGGTCTCCCCCATTGTAGGTGGATTCTTTACCGTCTGAGCCACCAGGGAACCCAGTTTAAACATTTGCCCCTGGTTGATCCACATTTTATGAGTGCTAAGAAGTAAGGACTCTACTTTCTAAGCATGTTTTACATGCTGCTCCTGTCTGGAATATATGTCCTTTCATCCTTTTCTTTCCACCACCTGATTAACCGATCTTTCTAAGACTAAGTCAGGCTCGTTCTCCTCCAAGATACCTTTGCTGAAAACCCCTAATCTGGGTTAGATGCTGCTCTTACATGCTTCTAGAGCACCTTGTATCTACCTCTGTCATTGCATTTTCCACACTGAATTATGATAATCTGTTTATTATCTGTGTTCCTCCATGACACTGTCTTCCCAGCATCTAGCACACTTCATGGTCCATGAAGACATGTTTACTGAATAAAAGAAAGAACATCAGAATGAATGAATGAGTGTCTGATGATTTTGGAATCAACAATTTGGGATTTCCAGAGAGGGTGAAGGATAATGAAGGAAGATGAGAAGAAAACAGAAAAGGGAAACGACTGGTATTTTTAGGCAATTTGTTTGTTCTCCTTGATTAAGTGAAACCAACTTATCACTTCATTTCATCAAAAGTTTATTGAGCATCCAGAATGTTCGAGGCACTCTGCTAGATGCCAGTAATACAAAGATTAAGATCAAAACAAAACAAAAACAAAACCACTTCCTTGCTCCACCCCCTCCCCCCATTTAAGGCAGATTTGACTTGAGCCTGGGAAGCTGGCCCCTCAGGGATGCAGCATTGGGGATTAGAGTACAGCTTGCCTTTATCTCACCTTAATCTTCACCCTTGCCTCTCCAGGTTGACTGGGATGCACCTGTCTGAGACCACATCTTGCGTCTCCCACCTGCCTGAGCAACTTGGTGGGGGGATGGGTGTGGGTGTGGGTGTCCCCCCCTCCTCCCCTGCATGCATTGTCTCCTAGATCAGGCACCTGGGGAAGTAAGGGGAGCAGTTCTGGGGTGAGGAAGCAGAGCTGCAAAGGCACACCTGTGCAGATGAACCTGGAGCAGTGCATAGGGGCAGGGAGCTGGGAGGACCACGACCTGCAGGTTATCCGGGGGGAGTCAACTGGAAATGGTGCTGCCTTTGGGCCGGGACAAAACTTGTCCCACGTGGAGTGGTGGGGAATTGGGACCTTGGGAGTTCCTCTGTGGGATGGTGCAGGGTCCGAGCTGGAGCTCAGGAAACTGAGGAGGGACCAGAGATGCACTAGAGGCATCAGGGAAGAGAGGTCAGCACACACAAAGGGCCTTCTTCTCTTGCATCATTTTAATCACCCTCTCTCTTCACAAGGCAGATTACTGTCTTTCCTCCAAACTGTGCAAGAAGTGGTGGTGGCACGGGCATGGCCTAGCTGCACAGTGGACCAATCTCTCCGTATTCTGCAGGTTTGTGTAATTAGAGAGCCTGCCCTGGCCTGTCTCCTGGGCCCTGCATACCTGGGAGCAGGGCAGGTGAGAGGCCGGAGACCAAGGGCTGCATCTGGTCTCTAAGACACAGTGGTGGGTGGGGAGAGTGATGAGTGACTTCCTCCTTCCACCGTTTCTGGGGAGAGTCGAACTTCATCCTCTTAAACCTACAGGAAGCTCGACAACCTTTCCTGGGGACAATGATTGTTTGAAAGGGTTATTTTGTGCAAAGCCAGGGAGAAGCAGTAGATAGGAGGGGTCAAAAGACAGATCCTCACTTGATTTAGCTTTCTCGGTCTGGGAATGAGTGAGGAGCCCCTTCTCTAGGGACTAGAGATGAAAAGAATGCTGGGCACGCTGCTGAGGGAGGCTTCGGGAGGAGGCCACGCCTGGGAGGCTTGAATCCTTTGCTCTGGCTAGACCCGGGTTGTGGTTGGGCGGGGGGGGGGTGGCAAAGAAATGCCCTTGAGCTCCTCCCTGGCCAACTGGTAGGTACCCAGGTCCCAGATGCCTGAGAAGGGTGCCCCAAGGTCCTGTCTTCACAGTGATTTTCTGGACTCCCTGTAGTTGAGGACAGTTATAACTTTGAGGCAAGTGGCCACTCTAATCTGGACTTGCCGAGGAAGTTCCCCAGGAACCGGGAGTTCGTTCCTGGAGAGCAAGGGCAGAGGGTGGGTGGGAAGCATAAATGCGCCCTAGGAAGGACACAGGATAGTCATCGGGGTTAGGTTACTGATGTTAGTTTCCATAAGCCTCTCCGGGGATTGGGCCGTAAATTTAATAATCTATATGGCCCTAAGAGGGCACAACCCACACCCACTGAGAACACAGCCAGTGATCAGGGAGCAAACGCACCCCGATTTCACAATCTGGTCCACCCTCCGCCATTCCCGCCTAGTCCCCGGAATCCGCAGGCTCACAGTGGTCCCCGCGCCCTATCCTCTTGCCCCATCCTCTTGCCCCGCGGGACCTCGCCTAATCCCTCGCCCCTCGAGGGCCGCAGCCCCGCTGCCCCGCCCTCCCCTGGACACGGGCCTCGGTGTGCGGGCGCCTCAGGGGACCTCAGGAGGCTTAAGCGCTGATCTCCACCGGCCCCGTCTCATCTTGCTCGCGGATCAGGTGCACGCCGGCAGTCCGCAGTGTGCGCGAGGCGCTGCGCGAGCGGCCAGGCGATCCGGGGGCCCTCGGCGGGGACGAGTGCGTCCGGCCGGTGGCGGGGGAGCGCGCCGGGGAGCGCGGGTAGCGGCGGGCGGAGCGGATGGGTAGCCCGGGCGACCGCCCTGGCACGGCCGGGGACACGGAGTAGCCGGGCGGGCCGGGCTCCGTCGCGCTCCGAGGTTCCTGGGCGGGGTTCTCCTCGGGCTCCGGCGAGTCCTGCAAAGACAGTTGCCAGGAGGGGTCAGCGGACAGCTGGCCAGGGCTGGGAGCACGCCCCGTGTTCCAGGGCCCTGGGAATACCGAGATGAAAGAGACACGGTCCCCTTCACACTCTGATCTCCTGGAAGGTGCAGACCTAGGTCTAGTTTCTCTTGTAACATAGGACACAAAGCTGTGGTTTTTCCAGTGGTCATGCATGGATGCGAGAGTTGGACTATAAAGAAAGCTGAGCGCTGAAGAATTGATGCTTTTGAACTGTGGTGTTGGAGAAGACTCTTGAGAGACCCTTGGACTGCAAGGAGAGCCAACCAGTCTATCCTAAAGGAAATCAGCCCTGAATATTCATTGGAAGGACTGATGCTGAAGCTGAAACTCCAATAATTTGCCCACCTGATGGGAAGAGATGACTCATTGGAAAAGACCCTGATGCTGGGAAAGATTGAGGGCAGGAGGAGAAGGGGATGCCAGAGGATGAGATGGTTGAATGGCATCATTGACTCAATGGACATGAGTTTGAGCAAGCTCCGGGAGTTGGTGATGGCCAAGGAAGCCTGGCGTGCTGCAGTCCATGGGGTTGCAAAGAGCTGGACACAACTAAGCGACTAACACACAGACACACACTACCACTGATTTACTTGTTTGATTCTGAACAAGTCATTTTACCCCTGTCATTTCACCCTATTTTATTATAAAAAATAATAAAATAGGGTAAAATGATTTTTACCCTATTTTTCTCACCTCTCAAGTGTGGATGACAGAAATATTTCTCAGGGTTATTCTGAGTCCTAGAAAGGGATGTCAGCATAGCGGGGCTATGGTACCACCAGAACGTGGCAGGGGCTGATGGGATGTTCGTGGGATACTCAGCCCGGAGCTACTCACCTTGTCTTTCAGGATGTAGAGTGCCATGGGGTTTTTCCTTTCCTGCTCTCCGCTTCGTGGGAGGGTGTCTGCTGCACGGGGGAAAGAAGGGGGCGGCTGGCGCAGGTCCAGAACCCTTTCCACCAGCCAGCACCTACGCTCTTTGCTTCCCAGTGGCCAGTCGGGGTCCCGCCACAACCTCCACAAGAGAAGCCGTCATCCCCGGGGTCCTACCTCGGGTGCTCCTCTCCCTGCTCTGCAGTCTTCGTGCGGTTGGTGGAGGAAGGGGCCCTGCAGAGCTGGCTTCCTTGTCGCCCAGATCTGCCTTTTCCCAGCAGCCCACTGCTCTGAGTGACGATGGGACGGGTGAGTGGGCGGCTGGGAGCTCACCTTCTGGTTTCAGGCGGTCATCACTCTGATCCATATACTCCATGGAGTTTTGCTTCTCCAGCTTCCTCTTCTTCCTGCAAATCAACCCAGCACCTGGTGAACACAGCTGTTGAATGTGAGCAGAAGTTCTGGGTGTGGGGACACAGTGGGGCAGTATCTGATGGCCATCAATGAGGCCGAGTAATAGGAAGATGGGCTGGGTGTGGTGGGACAGGGTATATCCCATCTAGGTTTGCAGCCTGAGTCTGGCCCTGGCATTGTGACCATGGGCAAGTCATTTAACTCATCTGAGTCCCGAGTCAGTATCTGTAAACTGCAGATGATCACACTGTAAGATAATCACACTGAAAGGTAGTGCGCTAACCCCAAATACAGTGCCTGGTGATATGCAAGTGAAACCGTTATTATCAATGCTAGGATTGTTGGGGTTGTGAGCACAGGATGTAATTCCATATACAATGCATGCAATGGTAAGATGGATCTCCTGGGAAGAGCTTTGGGCCCTGGGAGGAAAGGTATTTAAAGAGACTAAGAAGAGGGGACTTCCTTGGTGGTCCGGTGGTTAAGACTTTGCCTTCCAATGCAGAGGGTGTAGGTTCAGTCCCTGGTCCGGAGAGCTAAGATCCCACATGCCTTATAGCCAAAAAACCAAAACATAAAACAGAAGCAATATTGTAACAAGTTCAATAAAGACTTTAAAAATGGTCCACACTTTAAAAAAATAGTTTTTTTTTAAATAAATAAAGAGACTAAAAGGAGCTTAGTGGTGGTCCAGTGAGTGGTCAAGAATCCGCCTTGCAATGCTGGGGACACAATTTCAAACTCTGGTCTGGGAAGATCCCATATGCCACGGGGCAACTAAGCCCAAGTGCCACAACTACTGAGTCCATGGCTGCAATTACCGAAGCCCCTGCCCCCTGGAGCCCATGCTCTGCAACAAGAGAAGGCACCACAAAGAGAAGCCCAACCACTGAAACTACAGAGTACCCCCCCACTCACTGCAACTAGGGAAAGCCCATGTGCAGCAATGAAGACCCAGCACAGCCAAAAAGAAATACAAATAAGCAAATCATTTTAAAAGAGAGAGAGAGACTAAGGAAAGAACGGAACTCGGGGCTGGAATGGGTGGAAGGATTCAGATACCCAGGGAGGGGAACTTGGAGAGTTACCCAGACTTTTTGGAGGGTTTCCAGCAGGCGCAGACAGTCACCAAGGTCACAAGGAGGAAGATGCCTCCTGTGGACAAGATGATATAGAGGGAGCTTCTTCCTAGAGAGAGAGGGAGGCAGAGAGGTGGGAGAGGTTTCAGGGTGAGCGGTGGGTGTGGGGGGGAGAGAGCTCCCTGGGGCCGAAGGAAAAGGAGCCCCAGGCAGCAGGGCTGGCCAGTGGTGGACTTTCCCCGGAGCTCAGTTCCCACCGATGCTGTCCTCCAGGGAGACCTGGCCCATCTCCGCCTCTCTCCCACCCCGGTGGCACTCTGTCTGGGATGTCCTCAGCCTCTCGTGGGCACCTGCCTCTCAGGATGGTGGGTCCCCATGGTGGGCAGCGGGAGACTCACGGTACACGGTGATTTTGACGGGCGGGCTGCGGCCCTGGCTGATGGGGTTCTCCACCACACAGCTGTATAGGTCGTCGTCCTCCATGAGCACGCGCGTGATGGTGAGCACCTTTTGGTCTGGGGACAGGAGCATCCGAGAGTCGTTGAGGAGGGGCTTGCCGTCCTTCAGCCAGGTGTAGCTGGGTTTGGTGCCGTTCTCATGTGAGCAGTTTAGGGTGAAGGCCTCGCTGAGCTCCAGCACTGTGGTTGATGCTACTAACACCTGTGGCCTTGAAATGGGCACTGAGCCCGGGGATGAGGGAGCCTATGAGCCAGGGGCCAAAAAGCATCTCCCTTCCCCTTCTTAACTGCCCACCTTCCAGCTTGATCTGTGGTCTTCAGAGGTCTCAGTATAGCGCTTTACCACCACCCAGCCTCCCACCCATCCATCCATCCATCCATCCATTTATTCATTTATTTACCCACTATTTATTGAACACCTAATTGAGCACAGGGGATACAATGCAGAACAAGACAGCCATGGTCCCTGCCCTTCTGGACCTTCCCTTTCCTTCTTCTCAAATACCTTTCCAAGATGTCTTAAGCTGACCAGCCTGGAAAATATTTTCACTGGGCTAAGTTTAGGTCTGTGCGTTCTAAGTCACGAAGTTGTGTCCGACTTCTTGCGACCCCATGGACTGTAGCCTGCCAGGCTCCTCTGTCCGTGGGATCCTCCAGGCAAGAGTACTGGAGTGGGTTGCCATTTCCTTCTCCAGGGGGGTCTTCCTGACCCAGGGATTGAACCCAGGTCTCCTGAGGCTCCT